AAGCTATCCAACAACAAGGACTGACCACGAAGAAGGTCCTTCATTGTCCTCAGCAGTCCCAGCAGTCCCTCCGTCCTCTCTGCCTTTCCACCCGCCAGGTCACAGGGAGGCCGTTGGAGTTCACGTCCAAGGAGGTCTTGGACTTATAGGGGAAGAACCTCTACCGGTCCCATGCGGCGGTCCGGTGAACCGAATAGCAGTGCCACCCCGAAATGCCGTGCGGGGAGGCCAGGCCAATAGAGGGAACGGCCGTTTGGAGGTGGGTGAAGGAGATCCTTTTTTGGAAGTGGGATGAAGGAAGCCCTCTTCAGGTTTGGAGATCGTTGCAGCAATATCTTTCTTGCCTGTTTCACTGGCGGGTGGTCCAGATTCTCTTCGTGAAGTCTTCATTTATATAACTCAGTGACACAAGTACTGGTAAGTGCGGCTCCTTGTTTTCAGCCCAATGCTTGCAGTCGGAGTCGGAGCATTGTCTGCTTGTCTATTCCCTCTGGAAGGCTCATGTTTTTCACGCCATTCGCGGAAAAAGAACAAGTCTTAGAGTTCACGGATGTTTTTGTGTTGCAGCTACAAATCCATCTAACACGGGCTTCTGTAGTTTCAAACGCACCAGCAACCAAACCAAACAGACACCACAGGACGTCACGCACGAAAACCCATTGTCCTCTGCCGATTCGTTCGGGAGGCGATGTAGGAGCATCAACAAGAAGACGGTGTCACCACTTAGACTTGGAACTTGCCAGCAATCAATACTGTTACTGAAATTAATACTATACTGCACAGCAAAAATGCCAAGGCAAGACCCAGGGGCTGCTTGTGCTTCTGACAGGCCTTGCTCATGCAGGAACTGTGAGGCAAAAGTACCTTGGAGCTGCACAACGTCTGGGCGCTGTTGACGTGCTCAAGCTGAAAGCCTTTTTAAAAAGAGCCCCCCCGCCTGAGCATGTTTCCTGTTTCTAAGGGGTGTACACGGTGTGCCCTCGTAGGACTAAGCTGTTGGAGAATCGTCAAAACCCCTCCATTCAATGCTGACCAAGTCCTCAACTATCCTCACAGGATACTGATGAATGATTCAAACAAATTAGAGGTGAAGCTCCATAATACCAGGTCTGAAATTAGAACTGAAAACATACACACACAAATCCTGGGTGTCACAAATGGTTCGTGTCTTTTCACAACAGCTGTGCTGCTCATACTAAGCCTGTGGCATTTGCCAACAATTATAGTCATTGAGTATGCATCCTCTTTTTAGTATGTCTTTGAACTACGAGTAGCAAGGACGCTACTAGGGGGAGGCCACCGCTATTTTATTAGGTTGGAGGCCATCGCTACTAGACTGCTAGTAGCATCCTTCCTCCGTTCGTAGCGATGCCCTTTGTTCCTAGTAGTTTCTTGCTCCTAGTAGTATGGCGAGGAACTACGTTCGTAGCGTCCTTGCAACACAAGATTCACAGCAACCTTCGAACCACTCCAAAACCGCGGCTCCCTCGCCACGTCGACCTCGGGGCCTTCGGCGTGGTCGAAGCCGCCAGGTGGTCGAAACACCCACCCTCTGGTCCAAGCGGATCCTTCACCCCAAAGGTTCCGAACCAGAAGGGTCCACCATCATCCACCATCCACAAAACCATGCCAAAATGGAATCTTTGGCGCGCACCTTGCGGGGCTTAAGACTGGGTTAATCAGATGTCTTTTGAAGGCCCATATAGTGGTGTGCACTATAGACTGGGGAGAGCGAGAGCCCCAGGCAACGACCCTCTGGAAGGTTCGGGAAATAGACCAGGGTGTCTCCCAGGGTGTCTCCCCATTAAAATACACACCCATACCCAGACACTCCATGGGACTGGAAGATATGCCTACATTGGCCCTTGAAATCACCCCAACTGATCGGCATATTTTCCAGTTCCATTAGTCGCGTCTGGGCTATGTAGGTCTCGGAGGTCGACCGTCCAGGCCACATGCCCCGAGGCCGTGTCAAAGAGCACCGAGAAGGTTTGCTTCGGAGAGCCCACGGACAACCTGCCAGGCGAAGGCAGCATGCACTTTTGGGGCAGTAACTGTGCCGTAAGGACATATTGGATATGGGTATTTGGATCGATGGATGGATGGATGGATGGATGGATGGATGGATGGATGGATGGAT